GCCGTGGAGAACCCTTTCGCTATCCCGGAGGAGAACCTGATAAAGGGCGGCAAGCGCAGCGCGACGGCGCCGCGCTCGGGCAACAGGAGTGCTACATTCAAGTGATGGCGGGCAGCGAGCCTGTCTGGCTGTGTGCGACCTTACAGGCAGGCAAGGCCTGCTTTGCGCCCACATGGGTCATGAAGGCAAGCTTGGCCTAGCCAGCAGCTAATCTGCACCTGCCAAAAAGCCCGGGCCACATGTGCCTCAAGTCTGGTGTCAAATCCTGGCGTTATCTGTAATGCGACCGTGACTGTACACCCAGCAACCTCCGACCGCCCGGGCAGGTGTACTATTTGTCGGCCTCATCCCTGCTTGCAGCAGCAGGACTGTTTCGGTGAAGGGCAACATCAGATTTGATTCTGGTACTGTTACATTTCCGGATGCAAAGCCCTATGCATCCCTCGCAGCAATGCAGGCGCACTAACTCTTTTGAATACCAGTCAGCATCGAAACAGGCACCCTACAGTCTGTGTTGATAGGTGCGCAAGCCTGGACAGTCAGGGCCGATCAGCGTCTCTGCGACGACAAGTCATGCTTCCTGCCGGGTGTTGATCTGTGGCGGGACTAGCCGCCTGCGTAGCAGCAGAGCGGCCCCCTCGCTCTCTGCAAACTGGTCGACGTCCTGCTGGAGGGCCGGCTAGTCGCTGGCATTTCCATCCGCATTTCGCATCAGTATACAAGTTTGAGGGGTCCCGACAACTGAGGAGTATTTGGGGAGTCTCGATAACTGAGGAGTAACAGCTTTGCAGTTGCAACTTTATTTGTTTGTCGCAGGGAATAGTTCGTACAATGACACTGATGACAATGGCGACTTCAAGTCCATATTCCTGGCCAAGAGCAAGGATCGGCAGCAGGCAAGCCCCAAGCTGCGGGCTGCCGCCTTATCGGGCGGTGGCGCGGGGTGGCCCATTCCCCAGGCGTGCGCGTGCAGAGTGAAGGCGCATGTGTGGAATCATGTGTGTGGGCGGGGGAAGCACTCTCTTAATACGCGTTTCGTTTGTAACTGTGGAACTGGAAGAAGGCAACTGCCAGGGTGTTACAGCAGCAACGTAGGCTGGGATGCAATAGCCAACATAGGTTCAACATAACCCTTGAACAGCAGGCCCGATGTGCTTGAGGGCGACGCGCCTGGATCAGGCCGCAGGCGCGGAAGCAATGGGGCGTGCTTAATTGCGAATCAAGGCCGTTGGCGCTCCTTGGGTGGGGTTCGGGGAGCAGGGGGGGGGCAGTGTGAGTTGGGGCACACAGGTTCACCAGGAGCCTTAAGGGGAGGCAACAGCGGCTGGTTATTCGCTGAGGGCCTATGCAGGGCACTGCTCTTGTGGCGTTGCGCAAGACCAGGCGAGAGGCGCTTTGCTTGCGATCTTCCGCTTGTGGTCTTGTTGCGTGCGGGGTGCGGTTCGCATGAACCATGTTGTGCACAGCCCAACAGGTAGGGTTTGGGCTGTCTGAGTGCAAATTCAAGTTGAGCTCTACGTCGTGGGCATGACGCCTTGAATAATTTTTGATAAAAAATCACAATCAAAAAGTCACAAACAGTAGCTTTATTGTGTCAAGCTGGACTCGCGTTGCCCCTTGGCAGGGTTTAGAACGGCATGTCATGGCCCCGTGATCACAAGTGTTCGACACATCCGCATGCAGCGCGTGCGTGTGAGCTACGCAGTGGCTTAACGTGTACAAATCCCAGTGCACCCAAGACCTTTGAGAGGTGCGCAAGCAGAAATGCAGCACACGCGGGCCAGGCCCCCGCGCGTGCTGGCATGCATGCTGAGACGCGGCCGGACGCAGGGAAGCTGACGTGTCACGGAAGATGGTGTCCTTGCAAATACCAAGTGGCATAGCCATGAGAAAGAGGCCGCCGATGTGATGAAGAATGAGCATCAAGCCATGTGCAGAGCACACAGGCCTGGCCGCGCACAGATGAAGTGGGTTTTGGGACATGGAAAGCTGATCATGCAGCTGGGCACTCGTGCCAGGTGGCAATGGCGTCGGTGCGTTCGACCCCAAGTTTGCTGACTCATGCAGGCAAATCCTGTGCCGGAACCGAGCAATCAGCAGCTAAGCACCCCCAATCGTAGGCTCTTGGCCTGTCTGAGAGGGCGAAGGAAGGCGATGCAGATGGCGAAAGCATCATGGTGGGGCCCACCGTGATACCAAGATTGAGCACCTTGTGCACAAACGAATCACGACACTCAATCAGTCTTTGCAACCAAGACCACACCAAGCGCCGTGTTGTTGGCAGCGTCGACTGCGCAGATGCGGATTGAGTAAGTGGACTGCCCTTTCAGCCCCACGAAAGTCACTGCGTCGGTGAGCAGCCCCGCGGCGCCGGCCTCTTGCGCGAAGGCGCCCCGCATGACCCGCTTCCGCAGCGGCGAGCTGCTGCAGCGTGCAGCGGGTGGCGCAGGCCCTTCCTGCCCGACAATCAGGTAGGAAGCAACACCTGAGACTGCGTCTTTTGCCGCTTGGACGTATTGTATGATTAGCGAATCGGGCCCGGCGGCGGTGGCATTCAGCCGCATGTCGGCTGATGTCATCTTTGGCGCCTGGGCGTCGTACGTCACGTCTACTGAAGCCGGCGGTAGGTCGAGCTTTGGGTCCTTGAAAAACACACGGACCGTTTGCTTGCGCTGAGCCGTTCCCAGCGTGAACTTCCGGGTGCGAGAGAAGGGCACCCACGTGCTGCAGGCCCGCAGCGTCCGGGCGGTGAGGCTGGCGCACATTTTTGTGGTGGCGGGATCGGCCCCGAGCGCTGAGATAGAGAGGTTGATAGCCCGGGACGCCGTGAACGCCGCGCCACCGCTGACGGCGACAGTCGTCACGGGCACGAGCTCGGTCTCGGCCAGTGCCGGCTTAAGCATGGCGTTGCCCAAGGTGTCGCGCAGGAAGACGCCGACCGCTCGGGATCCGAAGGGCCCCTCCTCGAGCCGCCACTGCTTGACCTCAGCAAACGGCTCCCAAGCTGTGCAGCCCGCCGACGCCGCCTTTGCGCCGGCGTTGGTGATGCACATTGCGTCGATCCCGCTGGGGTCGGAGCCGACAATGACCAAGGTGACGTTTTTGGAGTAGGTCAAGGCGGGGCCGTCAGTACTGACGATCTGCACTCTGCACGTTGGTGCCGCGGTGTCCAGCTGCGACTCAGGTGCCTGCTTTGATAGAATCCCTCGGAGCGCCTCAATCGAGTTCCACAGGTTGACTCTTGGCGTCGTGACGCCGGCGCTGGGGTCCAGTGTTGGGATGCCGCCTTGGAGCAGCGCGGCGACGACCTGGTCTGACGTGGCAGATGGCGCCAGGGACTTCAGGACCTGTGTGTATGTGTGTGCGTGTGCGTGTGTTTGTGTTCAAATGTGTGTGTATGTGTGTGTGTGTGAGAGAGCGATAGAGTGTGTGTGTGTGTGTGTGTGTGTGTGTGTGTTGGGTTGGGGGGGTGGGTGCAAGCATGCCAATACGGCCGTGCGCCTCTAGTATTTGCGAGGTACTGTGCAGCACAATGCTTCAGCATTCGAAGCTGCCTGGGATTTGATGTGCCTGGAACGTTGACTTGAAACGGCCGTATCAGGACCTGGTCAGCAGCAGACCCCTGCCTCTCACCGCGATGGAGCCGGTCACGTGCGGCACTGCCTGGCTGGTGCCGGCCATGGACCAGCCGCCCGCATTGATGATTGCCCCCGGTGCCAGGATTGTCAGGAATGGCGCACTGCAAAAATGTACACAGGGTGGCAGGTGAGCAGCCGGCTGGGCGTGCTGCTGATAAGCATCACCCGCACTGCAATGCCATTCCATTGCGCCCTGCACTGCAGCAACATCAGCACTTCTGAGGGGCATCTGCTGTTGGGCAGGGGGCTTGTGGCTACAAAAAAAGGGTCACCTCGACAACAACGTTGCTGACCTGTTGCTGAAGCATGTGACATGATTCTCAACAGGAATCTCATCCCCGCACACGCGCCAGTCGCGTGCCCTCAGATCTTGGTCGTACGTGGCGCCCACGCTGACCGCCCCGGGCGTGCATGCCGGCGTGGGCAGCCGCCCCTTGAGGGCGGCGTTGCCGGCCGCTGCGGCGGGCACGATGCCGGCTGCTCGCGCGGCGGCGAACGCCACCGTGTAGGGGCTGTCGTTGCAGACTTCAGAAAACCATTTGCTGGTGGAGCCGAGGGACAGGTTGATGGCGCAGACGTTGTAGGAGCCGTCGGCTTTAGCCTTCAACACCCAGTCAATGGCGGCCAGGATATCTGCGCCGCAGGGAGGAGTTGAACAGGCTGGACGGACAGATTGCTGCACAGCCAGCTCCAGACAGTGGTGCCGTGCATAAGACCGTGCTGGCGCGCAGCAGGGGCACGCCCGCTGCGGACGTTCAGGCGAGATAAGTCATGCCGGCATTTGGGCCTTAGTAAAGGGGGCCGCACCCGCGTCCCAGGCGAGAGAGTCTCCAGTCGTACTCTGTTTGAACACGTCCTGTTCAGGGCGATTGCGGTCGGGTGTTCTGCTATGCTTTCCAGGGCTTTTTTGATGGGGGGCAGGGGACGTGGGGGCTGAGGATGGGGGTTGCACAAGGGTTCAAACCCTAGGTGACGATGGACAAGGGCGTGTTCCGCTGACAACTAGCAAGGGTAAAGTGAAGCAGACTGGATGTGCCAGGCCTGCACAGTTGCTGCAGCTGCGGCTTCCGCATCTCAGCCCCTCACAGCCCACCCCCACCTCGACAGACCCAGGGCCTCCAACTCACTTGCGCCGTCCCGTCCCAACCCATCACCTGACACCCACCAGCACAAGAATCTTCACCCCTGGAGCCACCTTGGCGATGATGCTGGCCACGTTGGTGCCGTGGCCGCTGGAGTCCGTCAGACCGTCATCAGCAGGGGTGAAGTCGCGCGCAAACGCGACGCGGCAGGGCTCCGGGGCACCGGGGTAGGGGCAGGCGCCCAGGTCAGGGTGTGCGTAGTCGGCACCTCGCGTTAGTGGGAGCGGGGTGCACGAGCGATCAACAATGCACCAAGGTTTGATGTGAGGGGGGCTGAGATGCACGCACTGCATGCCCAATACAGTAGTCACAACAGCCGCCTGATATGCGTGCACGTATCTGGCAGCTGCCTTTGGCAAGCTTTGTCGGTACGATTTATCGGGGGGGCGCGGCAGGGCAGGGCAGGGAACGGCAGGGCTTGCGCAGCCTGTCCTCTGAGCGTGTTGAGGTCACGCTCATGACCAGGGCCTCCTGCCGCCGTCATAGCTTCACACCTGTATCCAGGAGCGCCACTACGCATCCGCTGCCGTTGTAGCCCTGCGCCGCCGCCGCCGGCTGCCCAATAAGGGGAAGGCTCTGCACAAGCTCGGGCCTGTTCAGCCCGTTCTCTACCACAGACTCGACCAAGGGGTCAGTCAGCAGCGCCTCTGCCGCCGCGCGGCTTGGCAGCGCCACGATTGACATCGGGAGGGCCTCCATGTGCCGCACGACGGCTGCACCTGCGAAGGCGCCGCCGGCCGCTCCACGAGAGAAGAGGCGCTGCTGAACTGCGGCCTGCGTGTTCTGCACAGCCACCGGCAGCGCGGCAGGCGCGCTGACATCGGCGCCCTGCACAGGTTGTGCCTGGGGGCTGGCGACTTCTTTTTTGAGTTTGTAGGTGACAATGTAATGCCCACCCCCACCAGAGGCTGGGTATGCTGAGTCGGTCGAATACCGGGCTGCAGATGGATTGCTGTCGGCGGTGGGCGCCAAGACCGCGGCATTGGGGGGGATCAGGCTCCTGGAGGCCGCATCGAGGATGTAGCCGCCTATGTTTGTTGCGCGTGCGGTTGCAAAATGTGTCGTCGTGATGCGAGTGTGCTGCACAGGCAGCCCCACCGCCCCCAGCCGGGCCACATGCGCCGGCGCAGCTGCCCAGCAACTACCGGCTGCAGCTCCCCCACTGCACGATCGGGCCAACAGCCCTGCCACAGCCCTGGGGCTGGGGGTGGGCCAGACTGCATCCCTCGCAGTACCGATGTCTCACCGTTTGCCGGTGTGGCCGCCAGCGGCGCCAGCAGCAGCACCCAGAAACTCAGCACCACTGCTCGAAAAGGTGGCTGCGGTTGTCGGAAGGGGTGCACCGGCATCACTGCGCTTCGCAGCTCCAGCCAGCACCCTGCAGTGTGCGTCAGGGGCAGTGATTAGGTACACACCAGGCAAGGCTGTAGTGGACACCAAGCTCACCGCAAAGAGGGCAGCGCTTGTACCCTCCTGCCCAATGTCTCTCCTTGCATGCGCGGTTAAGGAGGGTGCTGGCTGGAGCTGCGAAGCGGCAGCCGCGCGGGCCAATCGCGCACAGTACTTCGCGCGGTTGCACAGTGCCGTGGTCGCGCGACACGCGCCCCAACTCTTCAGAGCAGGACGACGTGGTGAGAACTCAGGTGGCGGAACCTGACCTCACATCACGTTGCCACACCCTCCGCAGCCACCTCACCTGCACTGTGGTCTACTTGTTTAGGCCCACCTATTCTGGTGCGGCAGCTGCAAGGGCGGGTCACAGCATGACGTGGTTGGTTGTGCGCGCGCGCGGTGCATGCGCACATGGCGCGGACAAGGGCCTGGGCTCAAGGTAGTTGATAAATTTTTGTATTCTGTGCAAACTTTCAGTTACTTTGCATGTCAGAGAGCATGTGACGACCACGGAACGCACCCCTCACCCACAGTCTGTGTTGCGGCCACGCTGCCACCCTGGCTTGCTGATCAAGTGAAACACACTCAATCATTACATCAAACAGATGCCAGTGCTGCACTTCCCCCCCTCTGCCCAGTGCGAAGCGAAGGACGCTTTGATACTGCAGCTCATCTGAGTCAAGAGCGTTTCAAGGCGCAGTCCGGATGATACCTGTCGCAACTCACAATTCCTTGACATTAGGACTGTGAACCAGGACCGAAGCGTTGGGCCTGTCACCCATGCCGGTGACAGTGAGAATTCTCACCAGACCTGCTCCACAGCACGGCCCTGTCATGCAATCATGCGGGACGCGCCAACTGTGAATTGTGATTAGGCAGGGTGCTCCTGTCTTGGGTCATCCCGAGAGCGGCGCCTGGGGCATGGCCCACTGATCGCCGAGAAATGATCGCAGGTGCTCATCGGTGCAAGATGGGACCTCGGCGGCGGTGTTGCAGGCGCAAAGCAGTTGCCACCCCAGCAATTACAGCCAACGTGACTTGGCATATTATAATGGTCCCAAAGCGTGCAGCCAGGCGTTGTGCTGGCTGCATACACGGCCACTCGCAAGTGGAATCACCACTGCTATTGCGACGATGGCGGGTTCAGCAGTTCCGCTGCGCCTCCTCGCCGTCACGCGCGGCGCATGAGAGCCATCCCTGCAGCTGCAGGATCCCCTGCTCGTGCGCCGTATCTTCGCCGGCAGCACATCTCATAGCCCTCTTTTACTGGCGCCGCAAGCTCGGTGCGGCTGCAGTGTCATGGCGGCCTGCGGGCTACGGTGACGGCCGCCCACAGCCGCCCCAAGCAGTGAAAACAGTCGCAGAGATGAAGGGCAGCAATGAGGCTAAGTTTTTCAGCAGCAACGCCACCAAACCCGCGAGGAGCGGCTCAAGCCTGATGGTGGCATGGTTGGCGTCGGTTGGAGGGGGGGAAGAGAATGAATATGGCGCAAGGTTCTGATCCTGAGCCTGGACGATGTGCCCCTGAAGGCAGTTTCCATGTTGAGCCAAGTGATGGCTTGAGCACCCTGATATGATATTATGTCACTCAGCGCCGCTGCTGTGCTCGCTCAAGCTGCCGCCATCCGAGGTGTGCGTGCTGTGCCTGCTGCCAGTCCCTGTGCGCACACCGACTTGGGACGCTGCCAGCAACCCGCAGGCCGTGCCACAGGGCCATCTGGCAGTGCTGGCATCTGTTCATGGGCAGAGTTTGTCAAATAGTTTGCCTATTTCATATGTCATTAGCATTCTAAAAGCAGGTTGGCAACAGCTGGAGCAGGCCTGCACGCATGTCAAGCGACGGCACAGGTGTGCTCGTGTGCGTTGCTCAAGGGCCCATTATGTTGCCGCCGCCGCGCCGGCTGGCATGCAACGAATGCGCGCTCAGCAACCCGGGCGGGGCCTCCCCCGTCCTGCCGAGCCAAGTACGCTTTTACGTGCGTTCTTGGCTGCATTCTAGCTAGACCTTCAGCTGGATGACTGACACGACCGCCCTACATCCTTGCACTGCCGTTGGCCCCTTCTGCTGTCCAGCCGCGTTGCGTTCAGATCCCCCCTTGAGGCTGCCTTTCCCTGCTGTTGATGCAAGGGCCATTTTTCTTCTTTCCCGCCCCGCTCCACCCAACATGACGTGTATGGCCGCGCGCTGAAGGAGCACAGGGGTTGTGCGGGAGCGCTGGACGTTGAAGCTGGGGTTTTGCTTGTCAACGGCACCCTGCTAATCGGGTACACGCAGGAATTGTGAGGGTCTGCCCGAGCGGACTGGTGCGACTGTTGATTGAGGCAGCCAGGTGGTGAGGACTGCGGCTGAAGCCACACTTGGGTGGGGCGGAGGCCTTGAAGTGCTGGATGCACGCACATGTGCGCTTGGGGTGCCTTGTGACAGTGTGCTGAAAACACGTAATGATTGCAATTCACAATTGCGAATGACAGGCACACATGTGCGTGGACCAATATGTAATGTGTGTGTGTTTGTGTGTGTGTGTGCGTGCGTGCGTGCGTGCGTGCGCGCGCGCATGCTCGTGTGCGTGCTTGCATGCATGTGCGTGTTGCTGGTGCAGGCGCCATGGTTTGCAATGTCATGACATCATCTCCAAGTTCAGGACGCCTGTTGGGAGGCTGGTCCGTTGCCGTAATCATGAAGTCTGTTCACAACCACCATCCAAATGATCTCCCATACAAGGAACGCAATCATATCAGCCATTGCACTCCCATTCTGTTGCGTATGCCGTGAAGATGTGATTGGGAAGGCTGATCGGTGAATGCAATTCAGTGCTGAAGACAATAGTGTGTCTGGTGGGGCAAACACTGGCACACCCTTGCTTTTGCCAATTTCTGCCCGCGCATTATCTACCTGTCTACCTGGCTGAGACCCAAGCTCGCGCGACGCCGGGCGCGCATGGGCAAACACGCCACGTTTTGTTGGCAATGAGGTCACTCAGTGACCTGCGAGGCCCAGGTCTGCAAGGATTGAGCGGCTATGACACCTTCTTGCCACCCTGGACCCGTTGTTTCTTGATCAAATATAGTATGCAACGCCACGCGGCGAGAGCTGTGCGGCGGAATTTGAACGCGCAACTGAGGGCAAGGAGGGCGCGTCAGCAGTTCTGCCAGCTTCAAGGCATTCCATGGGCGAGGTCAAGGCACGCAACGTCAGCGCCAGTCGTCGTCAACCCTAGCACCCATTGCATCATGGACTGTATTTGCTGTGGACTTATGCTGCTCCAAATCATCTATCTGTTAGTTACGTTTGGAGAAAATAGAGCCAAGGCCAAGTTCTTTGTTTTCACGTTGGACATCATGTTGTGCTGGACATCCACATAAATATTTTGCTTTGAGCCCCTTGTTAAGGACTTAGAAGCCAGGTTCCCCAGGGCCCTTGTGAGGTCCACTTGCAAAGGCCACAGCCTGTGACCAAGACGGTAAACAAACGGTCCAGCTGGCAGGCTGCAACACCATGTAAGACCATCAAATCACACGCGCCTTCCCACGTGCTGCTAGAAGTACAGCGATCAGCAGAGACTGCACTGTTCAAACATGAATGCCCTTCTTGAAATACAAGTGCATGCAAGATGATAACATCAGAGCAGTGCGGGTCTGAGGCGGCTTGAGCGGGCGCGGCCAATCACGTCCCGACTGTGGGAAAGGTCAATAATCACATGAGATCACTCTCGGCGGCGCATCAGTTGGAAGCCACTTGTCGAGGATCGCGACAGGGTCAGGTGCGTGCTCAGGACCATATCTGCGGGGTCCAGCCAGATCTCATACTTGGGCGCCTCGCTTCTGACATCCCAAACCCACACAATTGCAAACAGCGCCTGGCGCCCCGGCATGCGGTGCACCAGGCGTGCCTTTGCCCACTGCTGCTCGCTGATTATGGGCCCGAGCTTGGGCGAATCCCACTTTGTGGCCTTGACGTCTATGAAGCACACCGCGCCTTTGCGCTCGGCGCCGGCAAACACCCCGTCAACATCCCGGTACTGAAAGTCAATCGCGCTCATGGGATTCAGGACCGAAAGCCAGCAGGTCTCATCGAATCCTGGAAGGTGGCGGCTGAGGATGCTGTGCACAAAAACTTCCCCGAGCTTGCCGATATACTTGAATTCGTGGTCAGGCCGCTCCTTTAGCCACTGCTCCTGAACGCCGCAGCTTTCGCCGCCGCCGCCGCCCCGGACACTGCCTCCGACAGCGCCGCCGACGGTGCCGCCGACAGCACCGCCACCGTCCCCTGACCTGCCACCACCATCCTCAACGTAGGTGGCCCCGCCCACGGACACGCCTGCCACTGTGACATTTGTGGTCACATGAACCGTTAGCGGACTGGAGAGCAAGCGCTGGGACTCCTGGAGCTTGGCCTGGAGCTCACTCAAGGGCGCGCGTGCTGCTGCTTCCTGCACTCGCTTCAGGTCCTCCTGCCAGTTCCACAAACTCCAGTGCTGCCTTGTGTCTGGCTGCAGCTGTGGTTGGGGCTGTGACGTTGATTGCGTACCCAATCGTGCAGGAGATGGCGGGCGTGGCGACAGAGGCCTGCTCACACCTGTTGCCGTGAAATTGTGGCCGAAATGCAGCAGAGGTGTCATACACAGGCGTGCTCATGTGCTTGCAATCAGAACCCCTGTATACCCTGCAGAGATACACCCTGTCCAGCCAGGTTCTGCAGTGGCTAGCACCCAAGCATAGTTCAATCTTGCTGTAACAAAAACACGTGGCCACGCACACCCATGCAGTCGTACACACACACACACACACACACACACACACACACACACACACACACACACACACACACACACGTGCGCATGCACATGCACATGCACATGTACATGTGCATCGATGCTCACGTCTGCGCACAAACGCACGCACATACGCACGCACGCACGCACGCACATACGCACGCACACGTGCCCATCCGCACACACAAACACCCCCCCCCATACACACACACATACACACACCTTGTGGGGAGGTGCTTCTAGAGTCGATGGTGCTCGCAGTTTTGACCAGCGTTGATGCGCTTTGCTCGGGCCTACCATCTTGCAGCTGTGCAGATTGCGCCAACCCCTGGCGTGATCGGGTGGAATGGGGGCCAGGAAGGTTGGCAAGGCAGCGGTCTCTTGCGAGAAGCAGACCCTTGCTGCTGATGCATGGACAATGACAAGATCTCCGCACTGGCGGCGGCCTTGCTAGGTGGACAGCAGCAGCAATGATCTGGGGGGTGAGGCCTCCATCTACAACCTCGCACCTTGGACTCGTCCTGCCCGGCCTCGTCCCCTTGCACTTCCTGATCGTGTTCAAGTGGCGCATGGTAAACCTGCCGCCAGTGTTCGTTCTGTTGCAGCAGCAGCAGCTGCTGCTGCTGCTGCTGCTGCTGCTGCTGCTGCGGCTGCTGCGGCTGCTGCGGCTGCTGCGACGCCAGCGGCATAGTGGTGCTCCCTACACTCTCTGTGCTTTTTCTTGGCCGGCCGCGCCTGCGTTTTGGCGCCTCCATTCCAGAGTCGGTGACTTCTGCAGCCTGGCTGTTGCCACTTTCATAACCGCTGCTCCCTCCCCCTAGGCTCGTCGCAGCTACCAGGGGGCGGACGTGCAACATCGGCTGCCATTGGCATGGGCGCAGTGCAGGCCTTCTGGTCGAGAACGTAGGCAGCGCTCCCGCCATGGGCCCGTGCACAGTCGCAAAATTCTTGTAGTTGTACAAGCAGGCATGCAACTGCCCCAGGGTCATGATTGCTTGAAAGGTCAAATGCCAGGACCGCCAGCAAACAACGCGAGGAAGAAAGGATCGGGCAACGACAAGCGTCCTAGTTGGTTGAATAGTTATTATTCGAAGATTAATACCAGCGCGCAGAAGCCAGGTCAATGCAGACGCTCGAGATGTGTCGTATTCCAGGCGAGTCCTACCGTCCTTCGATGGTCAATGCGGTTTTAGAGGGGGCTCCACTAGTATAGATGCTCGCACATGCCGAATCAACATTGATACGAGTGTTGCAGTAATGCCTGCCCACACATTCATAGACACTCAAGCCTGTGCGAAGGGGGAAGTGCAAGTAGTAAATGTGCGCGTGGTGCCTTGGCATGGGCATGCGTGTGCCATTGGGCATGAATCACAGGCCACTCAAGGCATTCAAAATGACGTAAAGGTTGACTATAGTACGATGGGTTTGAGCAGAAAGGTCCTGGGTTAGGTCCAAACTTCCTTCTGCTGTGCATTGGCTGCTGCCGCGGATGCAGCCCCAAAAGCTGTGCGCACTGCAGCCTAACAGTTCGGTGCAAGAAGACGTACCAGGAGCCTGAAGAT